CTGAGCTCATAGAGGTGAGTTGCAGAAACTGTGTGGGTTTCACTCTGACATCACCTGGACCATAATATAACTAAGTTCCTTATGGAAATTATGACCTGGAGTAAAGTCTTACTCAAAGGATTTTTATTTTACCAGGGATTCTGGAACCAACAATCTGTATGGAGCTAAATCTAAGACCCGTGGTGGGCTGGCACTGGAAGAAGTTGGAGTTACAAGGAACCTCTCTGAAGGTTCCCTATGCAAACACTTACGAGATGCTGTATCAAGTAAATGATAATGATGTTTTAAGAACTCTAGCACGATGTCAACCAGACCCCACCAGGAAAACAGAGCCTCCCTGAGTATTTCTGAGAGAGGGAACTGATTACATGGGTGATGAAAGATGCTGAAGATGCAAATCCGACAGTGAGGCAACTAAGAGATTGGCAAGAGCAAGAAGCTACCTCCGCCCTGTGGATGGGGAACACAATAAGGCAGTATTACTGGAATCATAGACTATGGTGACACTGAAACAAGCCTGCCCAGCAGGAGCTGGTTTTATGAGAGACGCAGCCACCACCTGGGTCTTAGCTCAAGGTAGGCAAAGGAGAAATATGTACTTGGTGTTCCTCTCTCCTGTCATTCTCCAAACTTCCAATGCTGTCCACTGGTGGAATCTAGCCAGAGCTGGATGAAACGGAAATACAAGAGGGCATCCCTACTGTAAGACAGAGTAGAGGAGGGAAAGGCCCCCAAAGGGGTCTGAGGGCAAATGGACTTAAGATGGGTAAAGGCCAAGGGCTGGAGAACTATGTTATAGAGGGCCTGCAAGTAACTGTGAAGCTGGGTCTCAGCTCAATGATTGCAGAAATTGGAAACCATTGCTATCTTTCTCCTTGATTTTGGAAATTGAACTTAACTACAACTTACTTGGCGTCTTATAAGGATTAAGGGTTGTGTTGGTATTGGGGATATCAAGATGACATGATTCCTACTTTCAAGCAGTTCAAAATCTTTCAGGGCAGGCATACAAATTGCATCTATACAAAATGGCAAACATTTTAATTTAAGCTATCTTTAGAAGGTGGAAAAAATCCTAGAGAAATTAACAAAGTCATAGATCCTAGAGAAATAAACCAAATTTGTAAGTGTGGTCTATTTGGAGATTTTGTTCTCTGTGCATTTCGGGCCAGGTAGTAGGGAAACTTATCACCGAGCAGTCTGTTGTTTGACAATCCCGCGTAAGCAAATGGTAGAGCTGGCTGAGTCACATAATTGGAGAGTCCAAGGTTCAACCTGGCTTTCACAACTGCCTCAGCTGAGCCCTCGGCATCCCTTCAGTTCTGTGCACTCCGTTAATAGCCAGACGCCCCTTTGTATTGGCAGCGTATTATCTTCTGCCGAAGCAAAGCCACAGTGGAGAAAGGAGATCTCCCATTCTCAAGTGCTTTAAAAATTGTCGGGCTTGAATACACGTTGGTATAGACTGGTCATATGCCTGCCTTCAATCGATTTGTGGATGATGGTTAGAATAAGAGAGGCCTTCAAAATTTTCATGTGAAAGTTGTATCATGATT